CCCGCCTCATTCGCGCTCCTCCTCTCCCTTCCCTCATGCCACCGCCTCCCGCCCCCCTCCGCGCCCGTCCTCTCCGCCCTCTTATCCAAGATCCTCGCGCGTCGTCCCTCCTCTCCCGTCCAAGCCGCCGGCTTCCTCTGTGCCTCCCTGGCCGCGGGTGCCCCGCCGCCAGACACTTCTGTTTTCAACAAACTCTTGGCCCCGCTCGCTCGCGCCCGAGACCTCCCGAGAATGATCCAGCTCTTCTGGTCCATGCAGAACGCCGCTGTCAGACCTGACGCCGTCACCTACGGCATACTCGTCAATGGCCTCTGCAAATCTGGCCGCGTGGGGGACGCCCTCAGGATGCTCGATGGAATGTCTGGTTCAGACTCGGACGTGCGCCCGGATGTTGTCACTGTGAACACGGTGGTGAACGGGTTGTGCAAGAGTGGGAGGGTCCAAGAGGCTGTGACATTTGTGGAGGAGCGGATGAGGAGTGTGCATGGACATGCACCCGACACATTTACTTACAACTGCTTGGCCGATGCATTTTGCCGTATGGGGAATGTTGCCATGGCGTGTGAGGTGGTTGGGAGGATGGAGAGGGAGGGCCTGTCACCGGATGTCTTCACTCTTAACATGATTGTGGTCGCCTTGTGCCGGGTAGGGAGGGTTTGGGCTGCGCTGGAGTTCTTCAGGGAGAAAAGAACAATTTGGCCTGAAGCCAGGGGCAACGCGGTGACATACAGCACTCTGGTTCAGGCTTTGCTCGGCACTAAAAATGTGGATGTGGCCATGGAGTTGTTCCATGAGATGAGAGAAGAAGGGCAACCACCAAAGAAAACCATGTATTTCATCATGATGTTGGGATTGGCACAAGCAGGGCGGCTGCAGGATGCTTGCTCAATGGTGTTGTCGATGAAGAAGGCAGGCTTTCAGCTGGATGCAAAAGCATACAATATTTTGATTGGTGGGTTTTGTAGGGAGAACAGACTGTGTGAGGCTTATGAGTGGCTTGGGAAGATGAAGGAAGCTGGTCTCCGGCCAGATGTGTACACCTACACTACCTTGTTGTCTGGTTCGTGCAAAGCAGGAGATTTCTTGGCTGTGGATGAATTGATGGGGAAAATGATCGATGATGGTTGCCGGCCTTCTGTGGTCACCTTTGGTACACTTATACATGGATATTGCAAAGCTGGTAAAATAGATGAGGCGTTGCAAATTTTCCGGTCTATGGATGAATCTGGTGTTCAGCCCAACACTGTGATATACAATATTCTGATCGACTTTCTCTGCAAGAGTAGAAATGTTAGTTTAGCAATTAAACTGTTTGATTGTATGAGCGAGAAGCATGTGCCTGCAGACGTAACAACCTTCAATGCATTGCTGAAGGGACTTCGCGATAAGAATATGCCCGAGAAGGCCTTTGAACTGATGGACAGGATGAGGGAAGAGAGGTGCACTCCTGATTCTGTGACCATTGAAGTTCTCCTGGAATGGCTGCCTGGCATTGGTGAAACAAACAGATTAAATAATTTTATGCAGCAAGTGGGGCGTAAGGCACCGAAAAGGACAACTACATAAGAATATGCTTAGTCGGCACCAAGAGCTTTGCTCATAGGAGGGATGTGTGAGTTTTGCTTCATATTAATCAAGAACTGCAATACTAAGGTGTAAATTGTGATGGAAAGAGCCGAGTCGGCTAGAAAACCAGCTTGTGAAGTCTAGGTGGCCTAATATAACGGCTGCCCTTGTGATCAGAATTGTCTGCACACTGCAATGATATACAGCCAGCGGTATGTTCAGCTATAGCCCATACTGGATTCTGCAGGGTCTCATTCATCACATATGCAACAGCAGTTCTAGTTTTTATGGGCTAATC